TACGAACAATAAAAGATTCGAACAGTCAACTGAAGAGAGTTCTTTTACTGTAGAATGTAAATAAGGCATATATTATTTGTAGATCATATTAACAACAGTCATTTAAATGGCTCATAATGCTTTACAAAAAGCATAGAACAACTGGATATTTGCACTGCAAATGCATTAAATGCATTATTCAAGATAATTCAAATAACCTTATTCTTTGATCAATGCTTCCATGCGATTTGTATTAAGTACATCTAGTTATGAACACAAGATAAACTTCAGGGTTTTGAAATTCACAAAGCACCGCTTTTACTATTTTAAATTGCCCATAGATATCTAAAAGAATTTCACAAAGACTGAAAATATTTGCTAAGAGAACTGCTGCCTATAATATATCAAGGAGGTTATACATATTAAAACACAATTCCAGTCAAAAAATTAATGAAAAAAATGAATGGTCTATTTAAAAGTAAAATATAACAAAAAGCAGCTGTTTGGGGCAATACTCCCCTTCAGTCTGGAGTCTCCCTCAACATTACTTCCTTTTCACTAGATGTTTTCAGTCTTATAGGTTGAATGACAGCCAGCATCATTCAAAGCTTAGTCCACCTTTTGCTAAAGATTAATAAATGCACCCACATTGGTTTAAAAAATGTGCATTTATTAATTGTTTGCACTGGGACCTGCAAAGCATTGTCACTGTGATACATAGATTATGGGTTGCAATGCACAGACTTCTGTAGACTACTCCTCCAGCTGCAGGTCCATATGTCAGTATAGACCTTTGGTTATGGTGCTAGTGAAAAAAAAAAAATCAATGGATTACAAATGCAGTGGTCTCACTATATGTGTGCTAAATTGAGATCTACAAGTTCTTCCGCCACAATGGAAGATGGGATTTGTAGTCTCTCCATTCACAGATCTCTGATTGACGCCAAATCCCAAAAATGTCAGGAGCCTGCAGGGAGAAGAACCCTCTGATTCAGTAAGGGAGGAAAGGAAGCTGCAGACTGTGACCATGTTTCATGTTATACTCTAAATATGATGAGAAAGATGAACTTAGCATTTCAACTTACTTTCTCTGAGCTGAGACTGTCATGGACCATCCCCCAGCCTATGACTAGACAGTTAAAGAAGACACACAGAGGTGAGCTGATTTCTGTATCACTCCCTGTATCTTTCCCTTGCCTGACTTCAAGAACCCAATTGCTCCACATATCGTGTGCATTATGGAGTTGTCATTAAGACTGCTCATTTTTTTAATGAGCTGCCTATAGCAGAAAAACAAAATAAAAGTTGTGCTAGCATTTTTCACAGCACACTGCAATGCATGCATGTTAGCAAGGTGCCTTGGGGTGCTGTAAAATTGTAGTCCAGACTGAGTTTCTTTGAGCTAAAGTGTCCTGCATAAATCAGAATACAGGCATACCTCGGTTTACGAACGCCACGGTTAACGTAATTTTCGATTTATGAATGAAAATCCATTGAAAATAATGCCGCGGTTTACTAATTTTTTTTCGCAATACGAACGGATTAATTGGTTTTCAATGCATTTACGATTTTTTTTAATCATTTACCTGTACAGTACTATGCCTTTAAAGTGCAATTTATAAAGAGTTTTGAACAGATAAAATACTTTTTTTTTACTTTTTTCTGACCTCCGGAACAGATTAATTGGTTTTCAATACATTTATGAATTTGTTTCGCAATACAAATGGATTAATTGGTTATCAATACATTTACAAATTAATTTTTAATCATGTCCCTGTACAGTCTTTATGCCTTTAAAGTGCACTTTATAAAGAGTTTTGAACAGATAAAAGACTTTTTTTTTTTTTACTTTTTTCTGACCTCCAGAACAGATTAATTGGTTTTCAGTGCATTCCTATGGGAAACCGCATTTCGGTTTACAAATTTTTCGCAATACAAAAAGTCCCACAGAACACAATAAATTCATAAGCCGAGGTACGCCTGTAGTTATAAAGGGGTACTAACTGCTCTGTAGTCATGTTACAGGGGGGTTTATTTACTATAGCTGGAGACTACAAACTAGGCTCACTTCTGCATAGAAACTGATCAGCTTCCAGGTTTTATTGCCAAATCCTAATTGAACAAGCTGAGGTTAAGAGCTGATTGTTTTCTATGCAGAGGTGAGCCTGATTTTGCACTCTCAAGCTTTAGTAAATCTCCCCCAGGGTGTCCTAAAAATCTGCATGCTAAAGCCTCTTCACAGTCAGTGCTTCTTGGTGGCCCAAAATTAGTCTTAAAGAGTATGATCACATAAAATAAACTAAACAGTTTAGGGTGGATGTCATTTAATAAATTATACAGTTTAAGGTGGATACTAGTGGAATCTCTTCCATCCATGACCATTTCAGCATGCTGTTTTACAAAGTGATCTTATTTGTCCTGTTTAAGCATTCACAACAAGGTGATTATGACACCACTGCCAGTGCAAAACCAAACTAGATCTTTCAAGGACAGAACATCTGATATAAAAACATACAATTACCGTGCCCTGCTTCTCTCAATGATACATAATGCCAAATAAAATAAAAAATACTAGCATAAAAAATCCCAGTGTAAAATTGGGTACAATGGAGCACTTGTACCATGTGAGAGGCTATTGCAAATTTTATTAAAATGTCAGTTTTTAAATGATAAAGCACTATTGGTTTGCCTATGTATTTTCTATATGTTTGCTGAGCGGAGAAGAAGGAAGGAGCTGAATCAGCAGTGAAGGAGAGTCTTGGTAGAAATCATACCACCAATATTTGTCCATCTAAAGGACGCAAGCCATTTTTGACCAAACTTAATCGTGAGGTCAAAAATTCCAGGTGAGAGCACAACTGGTGTCAGTGTTGGTGGAGGTGCACTATATATGATAAAAGGAAGAATTTTAAGGCACAAGTTTTGGCCAGCTCAGTGGATTGCTTCAAAAAAGTCCTGGATTCTTTTTTGGATACACAAAAATATAACTGGATACTAACATTTATAGGTAAAGTTGATCCATGGAATATCCGATTGCCTCTCGGGGGATCAGGAAGAAATTTTTTTCCCGGCAGGAACAAATTGGATTATGCTTTGCTTGGTTTTTTTGCCTTCCTTTGGATCAACTGTGGGTATAGGATTGTAACTTTTTTTTTATGGTTGAACTGGATGGACATTTGTCTTTTTTCAGCCAGACTAACTATGTAACTACATGTACAAGTCATTTTGAGATGAAAGAATCATGCTGTGGAGATGGACTATATTAATTTATAGTTACTGTGCACATTGTTTATTATACAATTCTTTACTACCTACTTTACACTGGGATTTTTTTATGCTAGTATTTTTTATTTTATTTGGCATTATGTGTCATTGAGAGAAGCACTTCACATAATTTGTATGTTTTTGTCATTTAGCACATTTGTCTGAGTATGTGTAGGTGTGGGCGGCTTTTCGTTTTCTAATAATTTTTTATTTGTTTTTTTTTTAGGTAATTTGGAATTGCTCATGGGTTTCCATTTATATTTTTGAGAACATCTGATATGTTTGATCAAAAAAAAAGTTAATGACGAATTAATTATTTTGTGTCTACACAAGTTTGGAACTCTGACTTGGAAGTAGACTTGATGATTGCAGGCAATGCCTCCCCAGTTAGGAATCTCTATATGCACATAGTAGAGGTTTTGCAAGGAATTAAAAAGTATGTGTGGCCATTTTAAGGTTTGTTTTATATACATTTAATGACGTGTTAAAGTTTGCTTGACAAAATTTGGGATGAGCGTGGCCACCTTTAAATCCGCCCATGCAAGACAAAGTGACAGCATCTCCTGGTACTCTGCAGCCAGAGCTAAAATTGGCTGTGTCAACAACATGGGAAAAAAAGATGATACCATGTGATGGGGCTTGGGCCTAGTAGCTAACCGTTGGGCCTTAGCACTGTCACAGGGGATATCATGCTCTGCCATACCGGGAAGTACCAAGTATTCTTTCTGGCTGCAGAGGAGCTGCAAGGGAGCACTGGTAAGGTGAGTATAAATGGGTCGGGTGATACCCTTTCCAGAGACATCATCACATTGGGGGTTTATTTACTAAAGCTAGTTCACTCAGGATCTGGTGCAGCTGTGTATGGCAGCCAATCAGCTTCTAACCTCAGCTTGTTCAATTAAGATTTAGCAATAAAACCTGAAAGCTGATTGGTTCCTATGCAGAAGTGCACAAGATTCTTAGTGAGCTTAATTGTCTCTTTAAAGCCATGTGCACATATGCGTATGATAACTGGTCAAATGTAAGAAAATCTCTGATGGTTTAGTAATTTCAGATTTTTTTTTTTCTCCATTGAAAGGGAGGTGACACAGCCCCTCATTACAATAATTAACACTCATCACCTTAGTTTGAGATAAAAGTTGCAGCCAGTCCCACAGTAGTATTAATAAAAAACATGTTCAGGTTGTTGTCTGTGATTTACCTCCCTAAAACCAATCATACACTTTACAATATGATTGTACAACCTGCTTTAAATTCACCAACAACTCGTACAAAGGCCGACCAGGCTGGATATAAATTGAATGTTTTAGGTGGGCCGTCATACTACAATTGTTGGTAAATCCGAAGGAGATTATAGAATCAGACTGTAAGGTGCATAGCCAGATTAACTTTTTTAAGTTAATTATTAGTGATTCTTCCCTCGTTAACTGTAATAAACATACAGTTCTATAGCTAGCACCACATTGCATTGATGTGTCACATACAGTGTAAGATAAATTAGCGCTTCATTTTCCATTATTGGTACATACAATTTTACTCCAGCATTTACACAAGCTCTGCTAAAATTCTAATTACAATGATTTCTACATGGCTAATGTAAGTGTACATTCGTATTGTCTTTTTAGATATCAATTCATAATCACACACTGATCACAAATACATAATTCGGTGTTTCCAGGCAAGTCCCTGATGCTGAAGACTCTTCATTCTCCAGACATTTTCCCTTTTGCTCTTCAGTCATTGAAAAGAGGATGGTCTCATCTTACCTGAGGTCTCTGGGGTGGTGGGACGGAGGGCCCTGGCAACATGAAAGAAACAGAAAGATGATACAATATTATGGAAGATAAAGAATTACAGAAGATACATTATGGAAAAAACAAGATTAAAACATTGCATTCCTCCAATGTAGTCCTTCACTTGGGGTAAACTTGTCATAAGAGAAACATAAAGGCTGCTATTGTTGACCTCTTCTTCTGAGAATGTTTGTTGCTTGGCTGTTGTGCTGAAGAATGAAAAAAGCATATCCCTCTATAGCATGTACTAGCCTCAATCCAAAGCATTCATTGTGGTTCCTATCTGCTTTAGTCACTTCTGATCTATTCTATTCTGATGAAGTATGCTTAGTATCCCAAGTATATAAATACAAATAAACCCCCCTAGTGCAAAATAATGACAATCAAATACAGTGCACCCTTCCCTTATTAACAAACTTCCCCAAAACACATATAGACTATAGATCCTTTATGATTAAGTCTAATTGACGAAACATGTCAAAGGGAAATGAAGTCAGACGCAAAGCTGAACCGGAAGTGATCAAGCGGCCTTTTTGGATCCTGGAAATCTCTATCTGAGACACGGGCGAGGATTTGCTGAGGATTTCCGGAGGTCTGGCTGGGCTGATTTCTTGTTTGATGGCAATTTTAAAGATGAAGATATATGTAAGCATATGAATAAAGTATATTCTGTTTAAGGTTTTATGGAATTACGCTGTTGTGGTTTCATTTATGGTGGGCATCGTTTGGAGACTGATGTGGAGAGGAGTATAATACTGCGGCTGTGAAGATCCCTCTGAAGAAACTTATTATATATCAGTACCCTGCCTGGAGGATTACTAAACTTGTGTTTATAATTTTTCTGGTAAGGGTATTTAATTTGCACACTCTAGAAGTGGACACGTTTTTCACAGTTTTTTATCACTAGATTGTTTCACGGGCACGTGTTTACACAGCTATTCACCTTACCATATAGTGATCACGAGTGTTTTTGTGTGAATCACATGCGTTATGGAATGAATAATTCAAGTTGTTAAGGATAATACACTATGAGCGGTTTCCTTTCTTTTTTTTTTTTTAGTTTTTTTTTGGTTTCAGAAATCACTTTGGAGGCTGTCTTCACCTGGAGGTTGATTTTGAGATTTTGAATGACTTTGATATTTTGAAGGACTATTTTATTATTTTGGGACTTGTGAGGTTTTTGTTTTTGTTCAGAGCACTTATTTTATTTGTATTTATACTTGGGATACTAAGCATACTTCATAAGATTATCACACTTTTTGGGGTTGAAAGTGTTTATATGCGTTTTGGGAAGTTTGTGAATAAGGGAAGGGAACACCGTATTTAATTGTACCTATTCTATTCTGAGTCTATTCCAGGGCTTCCCAACCTTGGCATAGACTCAGAATAGAATATTCTGAGTCTATTGCATTAGAATATACTACTACACTGTGTGTACAATTATTAGGCAAATTGTATTTTTGAGGATTAATTTCATTATTGCACAGCTACAGTGCTCTCAGTCAATTCAAAATGTTAATAAACTTCAAACCTGAATATTTAGGAAAGTAAAAGTGAGGTTTTGGCTTTCTTAGGAGAATATCTATGTGTGCACATCTCAGAGCTGACCGATGCTTTAACACTGAAACAGGAATCACTAAAATAGAAATCCTGGTTATGCAGTGTGGCAGAGGTCTGTAAATAAGCAGAAAGTCTACAAGTATGGCTCATGTACTTGGATGCATTTGGGCTCATACTGCCAGAATTCTGCACATTTCTGTGCCCAAGAGGCTTAGGTGTTTGTGCACAGCCAGATATTTACAAATTAGAGATAGGCTTGGGTTGTATGCTGGTATCTGCGCATCCCAGTGGTTATATGCGTAGAGAGCCAGATGTGTACCCCTGCACACAGACAGTTCATATACAGGGGTGCACACCAGTCCCTGTTTGTGTGTAGCCATTTGGTGGAAATATCAGCATATGACCACAGCCTGCCATTGACTTATACAGGGTGCTGGCTGTGGCTGTATGCAGACGTGTAGGCGCAGACATACGCTTAATTCTGGAAATGTATGCCCAAATGTGACCATGTACATGAGTCTTATAAGACCTTGTATGTTTTTCAGCTGAGCATTTAAATGTTTGTCTTGAGTTTCTCTAGGAGCAGCATGGTATTCATTTGTTTAACTGCAGTGACAAAATAATGTGGAGAATCCATGGGGAAAGTTCAATCTTTAGAACAGCTTAGAAAGAGAAGATACGTGTCTAGATGGTTTCCATGAACATTGGTACAGTTGCTCATGCCTCCATGGTATTTTTTACTACTCATTGACTATACAAGCAGGAACTCACCTGGAGGGCACTTGCTGGGGTAAATCCGTTCACATGGCTCAAATTTTTCTGGAGGCGGCAAGTCTTCTACTGGGTGAAAGGGAAACTTGGACTCAAAGTCATCTGGAGAATAGACAAGAAATTGGGGTTCATTAGGATCTCTGCATAGTGTATTGGTTCTGTTGGAATAGTGGCAAAATAATAGGCAGCACTCTGCAGAGAACCATTTATATCAGTCCTTGTTCTGGCAAGAGAGCTCGCAGTTGAACATTCCTACCACATTCAGACACAAACTAGAACCAATTTGAGAGAACGCCAATTATATATTAGTATTACTTTGGGAAGGAAGTTGAACCTTGAACAGATAGCAAGGGTTCTGTATGCATTCAGTTTGTATGCCGTGTCTGAGCCTAGGGCACACAGTTGAAAGGCAAGAGCAACAGCCTCTTAGGGCTCATGTACACTGCAGCTGATAAACCCACGTTTAGGAGCTTTTCTGCGTTTTTTTCAGCAGCACTTGAACTCTCCCTAATGTTTTCCTATGTGTCCATGTAAACTATGTCATTTACAGTTGTATACAGGCAGTTGAGTTTACAGTCGTTTTTTTCAAACGCACCAAACTTGCATTCAGGAGTAGATTTTATCAGCGTTTCAAACGCCAAACGCTTGTAAACGTGGCTAACAGTTTTTTTTTAACTGTTCCATATCCAAATGCTGTCCTTTTGTCATCATCAGAAATGCATGCAAAGTGTTTTCCATGTATTTAAATGGACCTAGCACACCAGTGCAGTCAGTTCCAGGTTTTGCGTGAAGGATAAAATGGTAGAACGTGCCGCATTATGCTCATGATGGGATCCATAGTGAATACAACTAGAAATGACAGGTAATCCCAACACATACTGATCTCTCGGTTTCTCTCAAAATGTCTGAAATAGTTAATTTTATACTGTTTTTCAGTGCATTCCAGGCATTTTGGAAGGTCTCCTGATATTATCTTTAAAAAAACTTCTAAACGCAAACACGCATAAACGCGATATGCAAACACGGCTAAACAGACGTTTTTTAACCTACGTTTTCCAGCAGTCAGTTTCCATCGTTTAGAAGTGTTTTCCAAACGTCCCGTGTATATAGAGCCTTAGTCTCCTATGCTTCCGTAGTATGGTACAGAAGCTTAAAGAAAAACTATACTGTATTTCACTATAGTGCAAACGCTTTATTTAGTTTAACATCGCTCTAACATTTACCTGTCATTAAAAAGTTAGTTACCAAAGAAATGTTCCAATAAATACAACACTTCTATTATACCAACATCATTGCACCAATGTAATAAAGAGAGGAAATACACTCAATGGATGCTGCTATTATTAAAAAACTCAAAATAATAATAAAAATTTGAAAAATATACAAATCACAAATAATAGCGCAAACCAAATCACACAAACTAAATATAACCACCACCAAATAAGTGCATAATAATAGTGCAAACAAAAAAATCAATAAATGGGGAATCTCAATATAGTCCATTCAGAAAAGTCCATATAAACATGATCCTCAGTAAATGAAGTAATGAGATCCTCCTTCATAAGCAATGTGGTATTCAGTGCTCAAAAACACCCCATCAAAATGCACACTCACCATGTGCTAGTAATTAACCAGCATGTCAGTATATATCCAGCATTCACCAAACAAACTTCAAAGGACGATCCTCATGTGTTGGTAATTACTCAGCATATTACTAAGTATCCAGCATATCACCAAACAAACTCCAGAGAAGATCCTCTCATATCCAGATTAGCACATGTGGGTAAAGAAAATACTCGCCATAGTGCAGTATCATCCAACAAATTTATTGCCAAACAAACCCCCCTTAAAATCACACTCACAATGAGCAAATAAAAACAAGGCGTTTTGTTATATCAGAGCTCCAGTCTCTGCATCCTGTGTCTCACCAGCCAGCCCGCATTCAAGATGGTAATAGCGCGATCACGTGATCCGGACACATGCATCAGCATGAGTAGTGACGTCACAGGAAGGCCACACCCTGACGCGTTTCGTCCAATGACTTCTTCCTTTAGGTGGAACTGTCATGTTCCCGGTCGTTCACATTTTATTAAAGCTTTCTAAAGCTGACACTTCTTCATATGCTAGTGGTTCGAATGCAGTGGATTTTTTTGTGACCTGTATCCGAGTTCCTGAGGCAGTACTAGCGCAGGTTGTGGAGCAGTGGCAACCAATCAGCATATACAAGCTGACTAATAGTCCTTTACTGTAAGAAAGAGTAGTAAAACAGAACCAATGCATAGCTCTGCAGTAGAGGAAGAAGAGCCTGTGGCCTTCAGTCATCAAATATGGCTTAAGGACTGCCCACTGTACTTTTACTGCGGGCGAGCAGCCCTTCTGTGCTGGATCACGTGCATGTACGTAATCCAGCATTTCTGGGTATAAGGCATGCGAGCATGCCCCCTGCCTGATCTGTGCTGTCATTCAGTACAACAAAGTCGGTCAGCAGGTCCTGGGCAATGATTTATGGCCAGGACCTGCTGATCGGCTTAGCGAATCACAACGCAGAACCCTGTATCTACTAACAACACAGGGCTCTGTACAGAGAACAGCAATGTGGCTGCTTTTTTCTCCTAGCAAAGCACATCTATTAGTAAAAGTAGCACATACTGTATTACACATTGCTAGGCACACAGTTAACCTATTGATTGCCCCTAGATGTTAATCCCTTCCCAGCCAGTGTCATTAGTACAGTGACAGTGTATTAGCACTGATCAATTTTATTAGTGTCACTATTGAAGTCGATGTCAGTTAGTGTCCCTCCCAATCAGAGACAGGTAGCGCCAGATTGCCTGTCACAGTATCACTAGAAGTTGCTGACCACTTCCACTACCAGTACAGCTTCATAGCTGCGTCAATTCAGGTATATATATCATAGTTTGTAGACGCTATAGCTTTCACACAAACCAATTAATATACACTTATTGTGATATATTTTTTTTTACCAAAGACATGTAGCAGAATACATTTTGGGCTAAATTTGTGAAGAAATTAGATTTTTTTTTTTTGGATATGTTTTATAACAGAAAGTAGAAACTATTGGGGTTTTTATAAAAAATGTCAGTATTTTTTAAAGAATATAAAACCAAGTAGTGATTAAATACCACCAAAAGAAAGATGTATTTGTGGGAAAAAAATTATATAAATTTCATTTGGTACAGTGTTGCATGACCGCGCAATTGCCAAATAAAAAGCGCAGTGCTGAATACAAAAAAAAAAAAAGCCCTTGTCAGAAGGAGGTAAAACTTTCCGGAGGTCAAGTGGTTAAATAAAAACTATTTATATAAAACAGTAACAAGTAATAATCAGATTATTTAATTTAAAATAATCTTTTATGCAGGTTTATCTAAAAAAAAAAAAAACAATTGAAAAGGCATATGTTCCCTTTCAATAAGCTACTTTATTGTATAGTATAGACAATGGAAAGCAAACAGGTTTTATGGTTATGTAACAGAACACTCAAAGGAAAGAAGGGCTATATAAAGAAAACAAATTCCACCTGGAATATAAAAGGAACAAATTCCTCTTGGAATACAAAGGGGAACAAATCCCTTCTGGAATAGCACAGCGTAAGTGAAATGTGTTTTGATTGCCAGGTCATGTAAATTCTGGTATCTTGAATCTGTAATTTTGCATCTGCAGAAAATCTCGCTTCTTGATGGGAGGTTATACAGTGACTAAAATTAACCAGCAAACCTCAGCTGGTGTGTGTGGGTTTTATTGTATGATCCAAGCACCATGCTGAACACATAGCTCCTGCAGACTGTTATTCGATGCAAGTGAATAGAACTATGCTTATCTACGTTCTACTGCTGTGATAACTGCCTGTTCGTGATCAGAATGTCACGTGTTAAAAGCATGTCGAACATGCTACAATTTCAGACTTTGAGACTGTGTAATAATATTTCAAAGTGAAGTCAGTTGTTACCCAACAAAGTGTTCTGAGTGCTCTGAATCCAAGTGAAATATAAAGTGCACATATCAACTCAGCTTCTTGTATCAAGTGCCTGGCCATGCCTGATGTCTCCATAAGGCACGCCTATCTTTACTTTCTAAACTGTCACATGGGGGCATGTTAACCCCCCATGTGACAGTAATAAGATGAATGACAGACATGTCACTAAATAATGGATTTGAGGTGGAAGAACCTTGAGGTTCCTGCCACATGTAGCCAATATGAATTAGGTACTTTTTTACATTTGAAGTTTGCTTAAGTGCTAGTCTGACACTTTTTTGGGGAACACTACTGTCAATAAATGCTCTTGGTAGAGCCCCAAATACTGACATGAATAATTTAGGAACCCTGAAATATTTTAGGGTACCCAATTCACTGGTAGCACACCAATAATCTTGGCTCAACCTGTGGTCCTCCAGCTGTTGCAGAACTACAAGTACCATGAGACATTGCAAGGCTAACAGTTACAAGCATAGCTCCCAAAGGCAGATGCATGATGGGACTTGTAGTTCCACGACAACTGGGGGGCCACATGTTAAGCATCCATGGTCTAGGGCAGTGGTTCTCAACCTGTGGAACCTCAGGACCCATATTTGTCCTTGGTCATTAAAGTGTTACTAAACCCAAAACAGTAAAATCAGTCTGTATATGCAGTAAAGAATGCTTGTTTTTCTTGCTGTGGAACCTAAGGGGTTAATCCTCTGCATTGTGTAAAAATGATATTGATCCTGACCTCTCTGATCCTCCCCTTCTTCCAGTGTCCCCCTCTTATCTCCTGATAAGACATATCATGTGGAGACACTCTGCACATACTCAGTGTGGTGCGTAATGCTAGAGAGTTTTTTTTTCTTCTTCTTGGGAGAGTGCATGTGATCAGCACTGTCCAGACAGAGGTCAGGGGTTCTGCATCCTCCTAGAGCAGAAAGAAAACTCCTCCTACAAGCTTTAACCAGTGCTTTGTTGAACACTGATAGAAGTCACAAGACTGCTCTAACTGCTGATGAGAACAGGTTTTTAGCAATTTATATTTACTAAAATAATTGCATTTTCATGTAGTGTGTACTGTGGGAGACCAGATATAGTGAATGCAAGGTCCTGGGTTTAGTAACACTTTACGTCATGACCCAAAAATAATTTAATTTCGGAAACATTATAACTTATTCCACAAAACAACTTGTGCAGTATTCTACAATGTATATGCACTTTTTAAACAGTAAACAAATGGCTTTCTTCCAAAATGGATAGTGCGGTAATCACAGCACTAGTGAAAATGAAAGTGCTATTGAGGTACAAACCCAATAAAATAAATGGTAATTAAAACATATGAAATTAATTAGAACTAATGGGAAAACTGGGTATGCGTCTTGCTCTTGATAAGAGTCTCAAAGTCTGGGGTGATGGTAGAGGCATTAGAGAGGCCTGGGGGGCACTTGCCCTGTGGCCCAGTCCGCCCTGGTCACAAGCCATTACTTGAGAAACACTGGTCTAGGGTATTCCAGCAACTCTACAATGGTTTTTCACTATTGATGGAAACAGCTGCTTATATGAAAAGGTGTAGAAGATAACATTACCAGGGCTAGGAGGACGATAAATCTGCGGAGATGATTTCCACCCTGCGGACAGCTGATTGGACTGCGTTCTACTAGACAACTCTGTGGTTGGTGACCTCATTGGGGGTGGTGGAGGAGGAGCTAGACGCCCACCACTGTTTCCTGTGGAAAGAATGAAAGGGTTAGGTCTACCGTACAAAAAGTTTCTTAAAGTGGCTGTAAAGGCTCACAGGTTTTTACCTTCATTTTATGCATGAAGGTAAAAAAAAAACCTATGTGCAGCGGCCCGCCCAAGCACCCCTCCAATCCTTACCTGATCCTCACCGATCCAGCGATGTTTACAATAGCCACGGCTATATGGGGACTTTCCCCTTCATTGGCTGAGACAGCATTGGCTCCAGCTGCTGTCAATCACAGCCAGTGAGGCAATGAGGAGAGAGCAGGGTTGGGGGGGGTAAGCCAAGAGCATAGAGCAGTGAGTCAGGAGCGAGCATGTACAAGTTCTCCCAGGACGAGCAGTTTTCTCTGGGGGCACTGCTTGAGGGGGAGGTGTCAGAGCGTTGGCGGTGGACCCGAAAAGAAGAGGATCGGGGCTTGCACCTATATGCAAAACTACTTTCACAGAGCAGGTAAGTATGCCATGCTTGTAACAAAGCTTTAGTTACACTTTAATAAAGAAAGGTTTATATGCAACTTGATATTTCCCTGGGCAAAAATTATAAAGATACAACAAAAACCTTTTTGAGTAAAAAAAACAAAACAGTTACCGTCCATTTGGATGTTAAGGCCTGTAAGGGTCAGACACATGAAAAACCATATATTTTACAATGAATGACTTAGGGGCTAACTGGGGCAAGGAATATGAGAAAAAAGTGGAACAGTCAAGTCTAATTTTTCATGTAATGACAAAAGCTGAATTCCAGGCACAAGAAAAACAATGTTTGCATTGCTGGAGCTGCATTGTTACAGGAAATTATTGTATTTCTCCCAGAACTGAGTCATCTAACCTATTACAGCCAGTAATGGTCCAGTTCCCTGGTGCCCTCAGGTCCCTTGCAGATAGTTGCATGTGTTTTTCTTACCTACTGTATGAGCTTACTTAAAGTAGAACTATAGGCAAAGCTTTTTTTTTTTTCATTTTGTATAGAGTAAGGGAGGGTTATAACCCGTCATGTTTTTTTTTTCGCTATCTGTGTCCCATTGAAGAGATTTCTCTTCACTTCCTGTCCCATAGCCAAACAGGAAGAGGAAATTCCTGAAAATTAAGGGAATCCCTTGGGGACCCCCAGGTCACCAGAACTAGTGTCTCCATTGGAAGATTTCCTTTCTATTACTATGCTGGGGACAACCCAAAATATGGGATTTCTTTTACTTTCCCCTATAATATTAATGGTAAACGGGCCAAATAGCGAGGGAAAATCTGGATACCAGGGGCACAGATAGCAATAAAAACAGACATGGGTTCTAATCTCTTTCCACTCTATCCAAAACTGAAAAAAAAAGGTTTGCCTTTAGTTAAACTTTAAAGATGAGCTTCACTCTCCCCCCCAAAAAATTAAAAGTCAGCAGCTACAAATACTGTAGTTGCTGATTTTTAATAAAAGGACACTTACAGGTCCAGGGATCCAGCACCATCCTCACCCGAACTGGTTCTTCACCGGTCTTTGGGTCCTCAGCGCCGGCAGGTCTACTAAGGGAAACTAGCCGTGAAGCCTTGTGGCTTCACAGCCGGCTTCCCACTGCATATGTGCTTGCCACACTGTGTTGCATGAATGCCCCCCCAGTCTTCTGGGACCTGTGACATGTACCAGAAGGTTGCAGGAAGGAGGAGAGGAGGATGACTCGGTGAATGTGCCGCAGCGATCCAACCAGAAGTGGCAGCAGGCACCTGTCAAAACCAGGTATCCGCTCCCCAAAACCCTCCAAAAGTTTCCAACAGTGGGGGGGGGGGGGGGGGAGGCGGGTTAGGAGACAGAGAAGCAGAACATCCCCTTTTGGGTGAAGTTCCACTTTAAGTCAATGAAAGAAAATATTCTTTTGACTGGCTTCCAATAGCTAAATGGTTAGATGTATTTCTTTCACATACTGTTTCTTTTTTTGGGTTGACCATCTCTTATATATTTTTATGTTTTTTAATTTTAATGTTATGTTTTTACAACTGTCTCCTAAAAGCCCCCACAAAGTTTGGTAGGTTTTAAGGTGTAAACAATTGTCACCTCTGTTTAGGTGTAAACCATGGCAGGATTGTTGCACTGTACTTTAAATTCATTTTCTTTATGCTGGATAACAGAACTCTCGCTGTAGATCTGGCCCGCTACAGATATGAGAGCTGTAGGTCTCATAGAATGCGGAACTAGTGTTTTTTCACCCCCTTCCCCTAGGCCATTCTCAAAATACTGTGTATAGAAAACAATTTTTTATATAACAGAACATACCAAAATCTTTGTGCATCGCGTTCTGCTTGAACTATGTCCCCAGCATCCAACAATTCTACTACCATATCTGCATTCTCTGTCATGTCTCACCTTCTGCTGCTTGTTTACAGTTTATGATCATGTCTTATAGCAGGGGTCTCCAAACTTTCTTAATAAAAGGGCAAGTTTATTGTCCTTCAGATTTTAGGGGGGCCAGATTCTTTCCAGAGGGAGTAGAAAATGTCCTGGCATCAGTGAGAGTAAACAGTGCTCTATCTTTGGTGTCAGTAGAATAGTGCTCTATATTTGGCATGGGGGGGGGGGGTTAGGGCCCCCCATGGTTGGTGTCAATGGGGAGAAATAGTGCCCCATCGTTGATATCAGTGGGGGGAATAGTGACCCATCATTGGTGTCAGTGGAAGGAATAGTGCCTTGTAGCAATGGGAGAAATAGTACCCCCAGATGAAGGCAATGGACTGCATCCGCTCACCGGGCCACAGTTTGGAGACCACTGTCTTATAGCATAACTACATCTCCTGTTGCATGTCTGCTACCTTTCACAGCTTTCTTTAAAATTAAATTCACTTAATATTACAATTAGCCCTTATGCAAAGTCAGGGCAACACTTGAGGCCCCCTATATCAAGTAAGTTGACCATTTACTTGATATAGCCTGGGCAAGTGACCTCTGTTTGATACTGGATTACACTTGGGATACTTGGAGATGTAGTTTAGAGGCAGACACTTTGGTAGCTATGACTATTCTCCAATGCAGCTATAATTATTAAAAGGAACACAGGAATTTTGAACTTGATGGCTGCAAGTTTACTTTCCAAAGAGATAATATGAAACAAAGGATAAATGATTGAATACCTCTTATTAAACTATCTGCTGGTTCTATTATAGGGGAGAAAGGAGCTCAGCTATCAAGAAAGACTGATTGACTGCCAACTGTACTGTGTTTCTCTAGGTTTCCTTGCCTCAGTTTTCCTTCCTCAATCCATATGTGGCCACCCCTCCTCTTCAGCATGACACAGTTGTGTGGATCAGCAAATAGAAAACACTTGCCCCCCTGAAGCAATAAAAGTTTGCCCTTAAAAAAAGTAAGGAAAGCCATCCCCAAAGTTTTACAAACCAACAAATGTGTATTACCTGCAGGTTTAAGAGGTCTACCATGCCCAGGTACAGGAGGAACAGAAGGTCTACCTGGAGGACCTTTTGGTGGTCGAGCAGGAACATTATTTTGGCCAGCATTAAAAGTTGATGGTGGTGGTGGTGGCAATGGCTCAGATAGCCTTCGCCTCGATGATGCTGACATTGGGTGAAAAGGAGGAGGTGGAGGTGGTGGGAGATCACTAGTATCAGGTGGCATAGGAAAAGAGTTGTCTTCTATCCTGATGTGTGAGGAAGGTGGACGTGCTGGTGGTGGAGGTGGTGCAATATCTCTGACATCAGGTGGTGAAGGGGACGGGCTTCTCCTGCCAGCATATCCCGTTGGTGGAGGAGGAGGATGAAGAGGAGGAGGTGGAGGAGGTGGGAAAGACTGGGAATTAGGTCTTTGAGTTCTGGAAGACCTGTCATGTGTATACAATGGTGGAGGTGGGGGTGGTGGAGCACTAAACTCTATAGTGGTTTTTGAAGATTCTTTGAATGATGAACTAGGATTTGGGGATGCTTGTGAAGCTGGCATCACCAGCTGAGGTTTGTTGCTTGAAGGTGGAACTTGAGGTGGTGCTGGCGGAGAATGACCAAGAATTGTTGGTCTTGGTGGTGGAGGCCTAGCTGCTATAGTAGCTGGGGCAGAAGCAGGTGGACGCTTGGGTAGATCAAGTTTTGCAGTACTTGGAGGTTGATCATGTTGCTTTGGAACACTTGATTTTACTCCTGGAAGCTGAGGCGCATTTTTGTTTCCTGTGTTTAGAATAAATAAACTCATAATTATTTACATATAAATTCCAAATCACAATCTACGCTGACAATCTAGAGTGAAATGAATAAACAGAACATACCAATAAAGTGAAGGTGGGGTTTCAAAAGATACAACAGTGCAGGTTTTAAAGAGAGAACAGATGAACAACAGAAAGTAGACACATGATATAAATACAAAATCAAACAATTTAAGTTCTGTTCATGACATCTCTAAATGTCTTTAGTAGTTCATTTATTCAGAGAACAGAGATTTCATGCCAGTGTATCTATTAAAGATAGCTAAACCAATTACAAAGCATTCACAAAACAAACAATATGTAAACTAGCATACCGTCATCCACAAGCTTTTTAAAGCTTTTGTTAAGCTTGCATGAAATCAGAGCATCACAAAAACAGCAAATACATATCCTTGACAATTTATTCATAAATGCAGAGTTGCACTTTAAGTATGTGACTAATGTTTACATACATTTTTAGATGCTATGTCTAGAAAACAGAAATAGGAAACTATTTAAAAAAACAGCCACATCTGCCATTTCTTACCTGCTGAATCTCTCTGACCAGGAGATTTAAGCACTGGAAATCCTCCAGCAAAAAGACCACCACTAGGGGGTGCCATTGCACTCCTACCATTTCCCGTACCAGCATTTTTTTTTGCTCCTAAGCAAAAACAGAAGGGATGAGTTTAATGATTATTCTACATTTCCCAAATTTGTTTTTACATATTCAACACATTTAAAAACTAAATACAAGATGGTTTACAAATTTACGGACTACATTAATATCTGCATGTTCTTATAGATTGTTTTTACAATGTGTAAAAAACATTCAGCGAGCTCAGTATTGGTGCTATTTATTTAACAAGCTCAAGACCAAATCAAAATTATGTTATCAGCAAGCTAAAGTGCACTTGGCATTGATATATTTTTTCATGTTGAGTGCATGCATGCCAAGAACTATGTAAGTTTACAGGTTTACGTATCTTCCAACTTTTTTTTTTTAAAACATTCTTTATTTTAATTTTTTTTTAAAACATAATCTTTACAATGAAACATAAAAAATAATACTGTTCACATACATGAAGAAACATCACAGAGTTCAAATAAGACAGAATAGCAAAAGCTATGGAGAAAATACAAAATCTCGCTTGAACGTTGGTTAAGCATGTTAGAAATTTTTAAACATTTGACAAGAAACAGAAAAAAAATAATACACACCAGGATAAGAGCTACCTTACAACTTTTGAACTTGACAAAGGGGCCAGCACAGAATCCCGTACTAGTACAGACCCCCTCTTTCCGAACCAGTACAGAATCCCTTCTCCCCACCAGGAAAGACCTGCCCCAAAACAAAGGTGGAACAGAGGAAGAGCTGCTTTCAGCTTGTCATATGAATGTACTGCAGGGGGAGTTACAGTAAAGCTCATCCATATGAAAATCCCCCAGTCAGACTATTCACACACTGGGTCATTCATATGTAAACCCAGCAGCAATTTGCATATAAATTACTTGAATTGTGTGCACAGTATATGGGGAAAGCCTTTGTGGGATTTTGCCCCTGCAAAGGTGACAGAAGAGAGGGTCAACATGGGGTCAATCCAACATGGAAGATAGGTCCATATATATTTCAAGCTTACAGGTATTTACCAAAACTCAGGTTTAATTTGAGGGTATGTACATCCAAATTGGAGGAAGTGTTTAGGAATTACAGCTCTTAAGAGTAGCCACCCCCCCTTTTTCAAGGGACCAAAAGTAATTGGACAATTGAATATAATCATAAATAAAATGTTAATTTTTAATAATATTTTGTTGAGAATCCTTTACTAGCAATGACTGCCTGAAGTCTGAAACCCATGGACATTCCCAAAGACTGGGTTTCCTCCTTTCTGATGCTTTGCCAGGCTCTAACTGCAGCTGTCTTCAGTTGTGGGTATTTTTGCCATTAGTTTTGCCTTCAGCAAGTGAAATGCATGCTCAATTGGGTTGAGATTGGGTGATTGACTCGGCCATTGCAGAATATTCCACTTCTTTTCCTTCAAAAGCTCCTGGGTTGCTTTTGCAGTGTGTTTTGGATCATTGTCCATGTGTACTGTGAAGCACCGTCCAATCAATTTTGCTGCATTTGGCTGAATCTGGGCTGACAGTATATCACTAAACACTGCAGAATTCATCCGGCTGCTTCTGTCTTCTTTCACATAAACACCAATGACCCAGTGTCACTGTAAGCCATGCATGCCCATGCCATCATACTGCCTCCACCATGTTTTACAGATGACGTTGTGTGCTTTGGATTATGAGCTGTTCCAAGCCTTCTCCACACTTTTTTCTTCCCGTCATTCTGGTACAGATTAATCTTAGTTTCATCCATCCAAAGAATGCTTTTCCAGAACTGGTCTGGTTTTTTTTTATGTTTTTTGGCAAAGTCTAATCTGGCTTTTCTATCCTTCAGGCTTATGAATGGTTTGCACCTTGTGATGAACCCTCTGTATTTGCTCTTGTGAAGTCTTATCTTGATTGTAGACTTTGACAATGATACACCCACCTCCTGGAGAATGTCCTTTACTTGTCCGGATGTTGTAAATGGGTTTTTCTTTACCATAGAGAGGATCCTGCGATCATCCACCTCTGTTGTTTTCCATGGATGTCCATGCCTTTTTATGTTGCTGAGCTCACCAGTGCGTTCTTCTTTCCTCAGAATGTACCAAACTGTTGATTTGGCCACTCCTAATGTTGCTGCTATCTCTCTGATGGATTTGTTTAGTTTTTAAAGCCGTACAATGACCTGTTTCACTTGCATGGACAGCTCTTTTGAACGCATGATGTAGGTTCACAGCAATAGATTCCAAATGCAAATACCACACTTAGAATCAACTCCAGACCTTTTACCTGCTTAATTGATGAAGAAGTAATGAAGGCGTAGCCCACACCTGGCCATGAAACAGCTTTTGATTTAACTGTCCAATTACTTTTGGTTCCTTGAAAAAGGGGGGATGGCTACTCTTAAGAGCTGTAATTCCTAAACCCTTCCTCCAATTTGGATGTATTTACCCTCAAATGAAACCTGAGAGTATGCACTTTCAGCCCATATGCATTATATAACTATAGCTTGAATATGTTTTGGAAAATACCTGGAAAAAAACTAAAATTGTGCCTGTGTCCAAATATATATAGCACCTAACTGTATATGCTGCACTGCACCCCCTTGTTGTGCAAGCGCTATAAATGATTGCTCACAATCCAGTTGCTAAGCGCTGCTTAGGCCTGCATTCCCTACGGGAAACAAACCAAACCTCCTGCAATGGGTGTTTGGCTACAGAAAGATTGAGGAAATACATCGTATGGAGGACAGTCTAGCCTCTGCCAACCACTGTGAAGAATAATTTAACAAAAACTGGTTCTTTTTAACAGACTACAGCTTCTCCTCTAGATATTTGAAAGATTTGGCTTGCTAAGTGGACTACCCACTGTCATGGAAATTTTGTATTGTTGGTTGAACTTTAAATGTGTCATATATGAGTGTTATTCATATGTCTCTCGTGTGACTTAATTAAAGCTCTGAAGGCTGCAATTGGGCCATGCGCATGTACAATGTATGTATTACAGTACTCAGTAATGGATGAGATGGCAGATCTGCGCTTATAGACCGGCGTGTATACCACCACGGCATTCGATGCGAATGCCGCCGGCGGTAGGCCGCGGGTCTGTATCCACATATCAGCAGCATAGTACCACATGGACTCCGTGCCGCCAGGCGCCAAGCAGTACGAACTCCGCGTGTAGGCTTATGCATATCTTACAAGCCATTACCAACCTGAAACTGTATCTGGATGGATGTGTTTTAATAAAGATTGTATCGGGCCCATCCAGATACAGACACTGTTTAACCTAAGGGATGCTTGTACAGAGAATTTACAGACCACTAGGAGCTAGGACAGGAAGTATGCTCTCCATAGAGGGCTCATGGGGGGGGGGGAGGAAGCCTGCTGACCTCAGAGGGCTCATGGGGGAGGACCAGTGATAGATAAAAGGAAAGGCTATGCTCCAATCGGAATGTACATCCTGTGTATAGGCACTCCCCATTGCATTGTTCTGTGGGAGGGGATTGACCCTGAAACCAGAGGCGGAGAATGAAAACGTCCTCTATGTGAATTCCAACAGCAACCTGAGAGTGTCGTGTGATCATTCCTGGGTAACGGAGCTCCAATTCCCCACATCTCAACAGAAGCTAACCCACTTGGGGGCGCAGGAATCGTGTAGTTTAGTTGCAGTGGTGGTAAGCGAGATTCGCACAGCTTTATGGGGGATTTCTGCGCATCCAACTACGAGTACTCACGGTAAGGAGAAATTCGTTAAAAGCGAATTTCCAAGACACCACTCTTCGACATCCTTAGTGTAAGTATCCTGTATGTCAGGCTTGGTGGTGCCTTCAGGGACTGGCTTTACCCCTGCACCTGGGGGGAATGGTGTTGCTGACCGCCATCTCCTGGTAGATGCCAGAGGCAAATCTTAGGATGTCTGCCCCACCCACTTTTTTCTCTTTCTCTATTTCCAGCTCCTACCGCTTCCCCCTACACCTCCTCCTACTTCTTCTTCCCCCCGACACCGCAGTAACTGGACCTTGTAAATTCCCACAATAGGAAGTATGCCAGATGAATCCTCCCCTGTTTCCAGGTACTGAAAAGGTGGTGTCAGACAGACTAGACCATCACTATTTTGTTGTTTCTGTTTGGCTACATATCTGCTACCCAGCTCAGGTTTGATTATTCTAGCTAGGTTATTTTTTAATTTTTGTAACTTTTTTTGTTGATTTTACACTTTAAAGCGGTAGTATACTGGTCCCCCTGCAGGCTTGCATCATAATGAGCTAGTATGCAATGGATACTAGAAAATTATGACCAATTTACCTTAAAAAAAACGTATCTCTCCAGCAGCATCCTCTCACCGCTGACAGGGATACCATCTTTACCTGGTCTTCATTTTGGGTTTGCGGGCTCTGGCTGTCTGGATGACCAAGCTGCGGTGATGTCACTCCCACACATGTATGCAGGGGTCATGGTAGCGGCACAGCTCTTTCAATGGATGGCATGCTGTCCATGTAGAGCACAATGAACATCCCCGGCTGCTACACATGTGCACATTTAGGAGATATTAACTGTACCTATAGGTAACCCTTATTTATAGCCTCTCCTGTAGGTACAAGATGAAAATGGGAGTTTATTACAGCTTTAACCGAATACTCTCTAACTCGGACATTGTGTCTATGTTGTTTTCTTCTATTTTGTACTCTGTACTTTGATAAAAAAACCTTCAAGAAAGAATAAAAAAAAATGGAAGACAGTCCCACACAATGTCGGACTGTTGGAAGGTCTGGGTTTACTCCTCCTGATAATGCCTTCATTTGCTTTTCTTTCCTGAATGCTGGAGCCATCTGTGTTCAGGCATTACCCAGGGTCAATATCAACTTCCTGGGCTTAGATGCTGACCCAAGAATGGCACAAACCTGTAAATCCTGGTGCCTGTACATATCTTGGCTGTGATCACAAATGTCTGAAGCAAGTTGCAAGGGCTGCATCAGGGGGCTAATCTGCATCAAAGTTACAATGTAGTCCGATCACTGCAGGAAAGAGACCGAGGAAATACTTTCCTCTGCCTGCAGCAGGCTGGTGACATAGGAAAACTCACTTGTCTGGCATTTAAAGACAGCTTTTTAATGATAACAGGTAGAGTTTGAAAACATAATGTTACTGTATATTGAGTTCAGGAGTTTATTAATCCAGGCTGGTAAAAGTACTGAAAGGTCCATTTTAAAAACTATAACTACAGATATCTATGTGACATTGTTGTCTGGCAAAATCAGATTTTAGGTTTGAAAGCAGCAAGTATTTTATGTTATATGTCCAAGTCTACCTCAGTGCCATATAAACATAACGCTATAATATAATCAAAACAAATTAAAGTGTTACTAAATGCACAACAGTAAAATCAGCCTGTATATGCAGTAAAGCATGCTTGTTATACTCACTGTGGAACCTAAGGGGTTAATCCTCTGCACTGTGTAAAAAGGCTGTTTGATCCTGACTTCTCTGCCCCTCCTTTTGTTAAAATGACCACCTGGTGCAGGCTGAACCCGTGGTTACATGCTCAGTTTGGTGTGTATTGCTAGAGAGGTTTTGTTTGCTTGGGACGCTGTATGTGATCAGCACAGGGCCAATCAGCACTGTCCAGAAGGAGCGTCAGAGGTTTCACAATCTCCTAGAGCAGAAAGAAAACTCCTCCTACAAGCTTTAACCAGTGCTCTTCTGAAGTCACTAGACTGCTCTAACTGCTGATGAGAAAAGGTATTTAGCAGTTTATATTTACTAAAATAATTGCATTTCCATGTTCTGCATATTGTGGGAGACCAGATATACTGAATGCAGGGTCCTGGGTTTAGTAACACTTTAATTAGAGTGGCATCCACCACACTCCCTGACTGCTCTTATGCTGCACACAACGTAATAGAGTTTCCTTCCTCCATTTAATCTTACATCAGCGCCATGGGTTACAATTAGAAGAGACAGTTTCTATTAGTCTTCATAAAAAAACACAATAAATTTGATATCAAAGTAGGACATCTGCCTAGCTGTTCTGTAAAATTTGTCCTAAAAGTAAACCATAATATAATAAAACCTTCAATGTGTATTGTGGCCAAGTAGGAGATTGGGAGCATTGCTTTAACAGACAGCAATAGATATCAGTGCTAAATAAAATTTAAAAAAATCTCCTGCGCTACCCAGTGAATTTACAAAAAGAAAGAGTGAAGACTAATAGTGAAATGGAGCTGCTCCTAGCATTAAATTGTGTTCCCACAACTAAACGATAAATATGAACAAAACAATGCTGCGCTGCAAACTAATAAATGAACAGAAAGCATATATGAAGGTTTATAGAGTGTAGTATACACTAAATATTTAAATGAATGTTCATAAACCAAGTCCATATTAAGTGAAATAATCAGTGATATTGTGAACAATCCAACTCTTCACAGCTCATCTGCTTCTTCATGTGCTCAAAACCCACACCATTAGATAAGTGCTAGAACCATGCAGGCGGTGTCACCTCAGTGCTCACAGAACTCTCACCTCAGAGAAATCAAATTGCACTTAATAATGTCACATCAGTAAGGATTCCTTCACTCTCCCGATCATTAGCCTCGTAGAAATGGTCAAACATCTTTGTATTTTAAAACAGCATCAAGCCAGATATGGGATCCGATCCCTTTAAGAGAGGTGATACATCACGCCCACGTGACTTCATCAGAGGGATCATCATCCCTTTGATGAAGTCAAGTGGGCATGATGCAACACGTAAGGGCATGGCTGTGGGCAGACGTGACCTGTGTCTAACACTACCTGGAAGTGCAGCTTATCTGGTAATGTTTCTTACATGATTTATGGCATTTGTAATTATATTTACATGTGAGTGCAATACTTTTTAACATAATAAAGATACCCTTGGTAGTACATACTGCACCATTGGAGTGTCCTTTTTTCTCCTTCATTAAGGGCAATTATCTCAGATGTCCAACAACCCCCCCCCCCCCCCTCTTAAAGGGACCAGATACCATATCTGGCTTGATGCTGTTTTAGATGTTTGACCATTTCTACAAGACTAATGATTGGTTTATGGACATGGTCCTGTAACCGGTTCCCCGCCGCTGTACAGCAGATATACTGCTACAGGGTGGCACGGGTGCGCAAAATCACGTATATATATGTGAGTTTGCATTCCCAGGTAGGGAGCGAGAGGATGTCAAGCACCAGGTCCCGGATGGTGATTACTCGCCGGTGCCCTGTGATTCCCGACAGTCACCAACGATGAGGAAGACTGTTTTGTTTACAAACAGTCTTCCTCCCTGTCAGCTTGGGCACACTGCTCGGGATGGCTGTGCACACACAGCCATCCTGAGCAGTGTGCTTACAGTGAAGCACCCCCCCCCCCCCCCCCCCCCTAGCAAAACACTCCCAGCACACCATTAACCCTTTGATCGCCCCTCACATTAACCACTTCCTGCCCAGTGTCATTAATACAGTGTCAGTGCTGTTTTTTAGCACTGATTACTGTATTGGTGTCACTGGGGATGTCAGTGACACCAAGTTAGTTCCCCCCCAGTTTCAGAATGTCAGCCGCAGTCCTGCTAAAAGTCGCTGATCACCGCCATTACTAGTAAGAAAAAAAAAAATCCCAGTATCTATACTGCCATTTGTAAAGGCTATAACTTTCACATAAACCAATTAATTTACATGTATTGGGATTTCTTTTTAGCAATGACATGGAGCAGAATACATTTTGTCCTAAATTTATGACGATATTTGATTTTTTTACTGGACATATTTAATAGCAAAAAGTCCAAAGTATTGTTTTTTTCTCAAAATTGTCGGTCTTTTTTTGCTTATAGCGCAAAAAATAAAAAATGGACAGGCGATCAAATACCACCGAAAGAAAGCTCAATTCGTGGGGAAAAAAGGACGTAAATTTCATTTGGGTGCAGCGTTGCATGACCGCACAATTGTCAGTTAAACTAACGCAGCACCGTAACGCAAAAAAATGGCCTGGTCAGGAAAGGGGTAAATCCTCAGGAGGGCAAGTGGTTAATATTTAGTGTATACTACACTCTATACACCTTCATTTATGCTTTCTGCTCATTTATTTGTTTGCAGAACAACATTGCTTTATTTATATTAATAAATATCAGTGGTTGAAAAAGAAATAAAGAAAATATACATTTAGTAAACTGGAGCCGCTCTTACCGTCAATCACTGGAGCACTTCGATCATTGACTTCTGTAACTTTTTTTAACCGCGCTCCCTTGTGAATGTCTGCCAGTAATGCATTCCTGCCTCCTGACTCTAGAGATGCTCCTGCCTTTGGTGCTCCTGCCTTTGGAGCTCCTGAACGACCCTTTTAAATAAAACAGAACACATACATTTCATTTAAAAAAATAGTCCCAGCTTTATAATGGATTGCAGTTAAAGAAAATGAGGTTGAAGAGTATTTTTGAAATTTAAGAGTGCGAATGTTAAAAAAAAAAAAATACATATCATCATATATTTGCGTATTTTTTAACACATGTGCTGTCTGCATTATTCTTAGCACAAATAAGAATAGAAAAAAGACATAACTAACACACAAAGTAATACCAGTAGCCTGAGACTCCTCAGGGGTAAGATTGTAAGTTGAGGACTGGATCAGATATAAGGACTTCAGGAGAGGTTGGGGAGCGCAATTGTGGCCTCTACAATCAGTCAGCAAACAATTGGGTGATTCAGGCTATAAGTGACATGGCAAAAGAGGAATCTAATGATAGGATAGACCTTAGTGGCAGAGGGCAACATGACTGCAGGGTGCAGACATTGGCACCATGAGTAGGTGTGCTGCAAGCAGTAGAATATGAGCTTGGGGCATCTGGTACAGCGGGAATATCCCCCCTATATCTGGAATCTAGAATACTGCATAGCAGTAAGGAAATATATAGGCTCACGATACAAATCATGGCCCAAGGTACTTATGAAACCCAAAGAGATGATAGCAAGGGAGGGCTGGATTTGCCAAAGGTGACCAAAGGTACTGTAGGTGGGCATCAGAAAGAGATCAAAGACTGAATTTCCATGTGGCTCCTTGCAAGCAGGAGCAGCAGTGGGGACATGGTTCCTTAATGTTTCATGGTGGGAAAGAGTGCAAAGCGTGCAGCACTCAACCAAGTGAATGGTGTCAGCACTGCACTAAACCTGCCTCTGGTAAAAAAAAACAGCAGAAATGGGAAATAATGGTGGTCATGAAAATTCAATTAGACTTTTCTCCTAAATGGTAAGGATCTCTTAGATTGTAAGCTCTGAGGAGCAGGGCCCTCCTATCCCTCTTGTATTGAACTGTATTGTGGCTGTATTGTCTCCCGTTATATTGTAAAGCGCTGAGCAAACTGTTGGCGCTATATAAATCCTGTATAATAATAATTTTCAAAATGTTATTAACTGTTTAGTGTTTTGTGTAGGTGGCTGTACTAATGGGTGATTTTTTTTGCCTATCCAAAGTTCTTCTTTAAGCATGCTGGTAGTAAATGGGGTTATCCTGGATTGACCTACAGTTTTTCGTTTGCCAGTGTCAAATCCTCTTGTAGGTGACAACAATGTAAAAGATTTGCTGTGTCCATCAACGGATGAAAATGAAAATAATCTTGAAAAATGACATTCTTCATCCAATAGATGGCAGTGTTAGTCAATGTTCTACTGCAAACTATAAAAGACAGCTCCTAATGCAGGCTAGATCTTTTATGAGTTCTCAAGAATGTATCTGACATATATTAAAGACTTATACATGGTTTTTATGGTGGAGCAATTAAGCTAAATATTGCTTTAAACATTTAACTCCTTTAATAGTAGGTATATACTTAATAAAACCGCTTTGTATTTACTTTGTGGCCATACTAACAACATAAGTATATTCCAATATACACTGCTCGAAAAAATTAAAGGAACACTTTTTAATCAGAGTATAGCATCAAGTCAGTTAACCTCCAGGGATATTGATCTGGCCAGTTAAGTAGCAGAGGGGGTTGTTAATCAGTTTCAGCTGCTTTGGTGTTATTGAAATTAACAACAGGTGCACTAGATGGACAACAATGAGACGACCCCAAAAACGGGAATGATTTTACAGGTGCAGGCCACTGACATTTTTTTCCCTACTCATCTTGTTTTTTTACTACTAGTTTTGCATTTGTCTAGGGTCAGTGTCACTACTGGTAGCATGATGCAATACCGGGACCCTACAGAGGTTGCACCGGCAGTTTCAACTCCTCCAGGATGGCACATCAATACGTGACATTGCCAGAAGGTTTGCTGCGTCTCTCAAGAGCATGGAGGAGATTCCAGGAGATAGGTAGTTACTCTAGGAGAGTTGGACAGGACCGTAGAAGGTCCTTAACCCATCAGCAGGACCAGTATCTACTCCTTTGTGCAAGGAGGAACAGAATGAGCACTGCCAGAGCCCTACAAAATGACCTATAGCAGGCCACTTGTATGAATGTCTCTGACCAAACAATCAGAAACAGACTTCATGATGGTGGCCTGAGGGCCCGACCTCCTCTAGTGGGCCCTGTGCTCACTGCCCAGCACCGTAGAGCTCGATTGGCATTTGCCATTAAACACCAGAATTGACAGGTCCGCCACTGGCGCCTTGTTGCTTTTACAGATGAGAGCAGGTTCACCCTGAGCACGTGACAGACATGAAAGGGTCTGGAGATGCCATGGAGAATGTTATGCTGCCTGTAACATCATTCAGCATGACCGTTTTGGTGGTGGGTCAGTGATGGTCTAAGGAGGCATATCCATGGAGGGACGCACAGACCTCTACATGCTAGACAGTGGCACCCTGACTGCCATTAGGTATCGGGATGAAATCCTTGGACCCATTGTCAGACCCTATACTGGTACAGTGGGTCCTGGGTTCCTCTTGGTGCACAACAAGGCCCGGCTTCATGTGGTGAGAGTATGCAGACAGTTCCTGGAGGATGAAGGAATTGATACCGTTGAATGGCCCCCACGCTCGCCTGACCTAAATCCAATAGAACACCACTGGGATATCATGTTATGGTCCATCCGACGATGCCAGGTTGCACCTCAGATTGTCCAGGAGCTCAGTGATGCCCTGGTCCAGATCTGGGAGGAAATACCCCAGGACACCATCCATCGTCTCATTAGGAGCATGCCCCGACATTCTCAGGCATGCATACAAGCACGTGGGGGCCGTACAAACTACTGAGGACCATTTTGAGTGGCTGCAATCAAATTTCAGCAAAATGAACTAGCCTACTGCATCATTTTTTCACTTTGATTTTCAGGGTGTCTTTGAATTCAGTCCTCTGTAGGTTGATAATTTTCATTTCCATCAAATGATGGGGCATCCTTATGTTCCCAACACATTACCCAGTCCATATCAGTATAGATATCCAGCATGAGATTTTTCCCCATTGGGATCGGATGTGTTTTCAAAGTGTTCCTTTAATTTTTTGAGCAGTGTATTTCAACAATTAAAAACCAAATCTCAAACTGTCATGTCTCCAGCCCCCAACAAATTCAAAACAAAGATGACATTTATTGGCAGCTGGACTACTAATAATAAAATTTGAATAATAATTTAGCACAAAGAAATGCTTGAAAGTTTCACTGTTACAGGATTACTCTGCCAATAATTAGCCCACTATTGTTATTTGAGATCCACAGTAAATAGATTCAAATTGGCTGGGATGGAAGATGTGATTGTACAAGGGCCACATCTGTGCATATATGCATCTATTGGCCTACCTGTGCCACCAACATATAGGCATTTACCATGCAAACCACATTGCATTTGCTCATTGCAGTAAATGGTAACATTTGTTGTAGACCAATACATCCAAAACTAATAAGGGGACGTGTCAGAAGTGTATGTACACTTTAAAGTGTTACTAAACCCAGGACCCTGCATTCACTATATCTGGTCTCCCACAGTACACACAACATGGAAATGCAATTATTTTAGTGAATATAAATTGCTAAATACCTTTTCTCATCAGTAGTTAGAGCAGTCTTGTGACTTCTATCAGTGTCCAGCCCAGCACTAGCTAAAGCTTGTAAGAGCAGTTTTCTTTCTGCTCTAGAAGGACGCAAATCCCCTGACCTCTGTCAGGACAGTGCTGACTGGCCCTGTGCTAATCACATGCACTAGCAATACACACCAAACTGAGCATGTGCATGCCTATAGTTCAGTCTGGAGATAAGAGGTGGTCGCTTGAAAAAGGGGAGGAACAGAGAAGAAAGGATCAAACAGCCTTTTTACACAATGCAGAGGATTAACCGCTTACGTTCCACTGTGAGTATAACAAGCATGCTTTACTGCATATACAGACTGACTTTACTGCTGTGGGTTTATTAACATTTCAAATCTATTTTTCAGTATGTTTGGCACTATGCCTTGTGCCAGGGATTCTCAACCAGGATTCCTCCAGAGATTTCTAGGGGTTCCTTGAGCAATGAGCAATTTCTACCTCTCAAATATGTTCCCACTGACACCATTGATCTTTTTAGCTATCTGTAAGGGGGTAATTGTTAACAATGACCACAAGTGCAAGGAGCATTCTTTCCAATGACCATCACACTAATGTATCAGGAGTTGCAGATATAGTAACATTAGCAGGGGTTTCCTGAGACCGGAAAGTTATTTCAAGGGTTCCTCTGCACTGAAAAGGTTCAGAAACGCTGTCTTACTCTATACAGTTTTCTCAAGAAAATAATTTGTACTGAATCTTGATAAGTTTCTTACTTAAGATCCTGCAATAACAGAACTTCATTTTGTAGGCTGACAATGCAAGATTATTGCCTTCCAATTACTTCTACAGCGCCATCAATGTACGCAGCGCTTTACATACATATATTACATTCACACCAGTCCCTAACCCTCAAGGGGCATACAATCTAAGGTCCCTAACTCACATACATAGACATACTAAGGCCAAGTTGGACAGGAGCCAATTTATCTACCAGCGAGTCTCTGGCGTGTGGGAGTTAACCCACGCAGGCACAGGGAGAACATGCAAACTCCAGGCAGGTGGTGCCATGGTTGGGATTCAAGTCAATGACTCTAGTACTGCCCGACAGAAGTGCTAACCATTTAGCCACTGTGTTAGTGTTGTCAGCCTGCTGTTTATTCGGTTGCACTACTAATCATTTTCTTAAACTGGCCATAGACAGATCAAAATCCAACCGGTACAGCAGGGACCAGCTGAAATTCAATCAGTGCATGGCCATCGCTATTCAACAAAAGTCGATCGTTACATTGACTTCTGTCAAAAAGAGAAGCTGGAAAACTGATCAGTGTGTTCTGACAGCACCAAGTCCTGCTGTCAGAAAACAATGTCTGAGCAGGGA